GGCATTGTGCCATAATACGAGAGGGTGTGGGAAATAGACATGCAACATTTAACATGGTGAAAAACCCAGCAATGAAGAGGCCGGGTAGAGTGAACTGAATTAATTGGAGTTGGTTGAATGGCATGACTCAGCCATGCAGGCGTGGTTCATCTGAATGTTACCTTATATCTTCTATTCATATTAAATATATTGTTCCTTCTCTAGCCTAATCTTGTTCTACATCATGTATTGGTAATTGATACGATACAGTGAGTTGGTGTAGTCGATGGTGTGACTTCCACGTAAGATCTTATAGATTAGGCAGTTAGATCATGACAAATCTACAATTTTGGGATCAGGTCTATTATTAGAGCAGTACTAATATCATAGTAGACCATAGTTCTACAACTTCGTCTATGGTTATCGGATGTCTGGGTCCTTTCGAAAGCAATACTGATATCTCCAACTGCTGGGCACTCAGTATTAGTTTGACTCGTTTGTGGAATATGGTTGTCCATGAAACTGATGAAAATTAAAAACCGGAGATTGTTTCTTTTCATTTTGCCGATTACATCGTAGAGGACAGTAAGGAACGAACATGCGAACAGTTAGTCCCAGTTATTTTAGCTAAAAAAACGGACTTCGATTTTGGATATCTAGAAAACAAGTTAAAACAAAACCCATTACCATTTAAAAATATAAGACTAGCCAGATTGCCCGGAGAAATACACTGACTTGAGTAGAAGCAGCAAAAACTCAAAAACGATGCTGATTCGAAATAAATTCCACACCAACATACGGAACATTACACTAACTGCGGCATTATAGCGCACTGAAACATTAAATTACATAGCTACACAAAAGAAAAAGCTGAAAAAAGTACAGAACGAAGAAAGCCGACTGCCATTGCTTACAAAGATGGCGGATATAATAGACCCCGCCTCATTCTAATTGGTTGCTAAGCTGAAGGCCACATTTACGAAATTGAGTTGCGTTTAATAGCAGTCAATTTTAGCCATATTTCCTTAACTACTTCGGAATTGGTTGCCGTGGGTCCGGCCAAAGACTGCAGGTGCGTGAGGTGGTGGCTCGGTTCAGCATCATCCAGGGGGTGACGTGCTAACAATGTTCTCACTCGTTCTTCCCTCGACAGGAGGAAATGTTCGAGAGTCACCTCCTTGAGACGATCGTGAGCGTTATGTACATTCGGATTGAGGACAACCTCACGGACAGTAGCTATGGGATCCGCATGTAGCGTTTCCAGAGCGTAAGCATACTTCTGCCGTTGATTCGTTATGCAGCGGATCTCGAAATGAGACTCCAGTGCCGCGAACCAAACCCTGGGTGAAGGGGAATAAAGGAGACAGGTCGGAAATTGATAGCCTGTACATCTGAACCTATTATATTAATACCACCCTTATCGTTATCCACCATAACAAGTTGTTGCCTGGATATTATATATTGAAAAATATCAATACGAAAGTGTGCAACAAAAGTGGACATGAAGAATTATGGTCTACTATGATATTAGTACTGCTCTAATAATAGACCTGATCCCAAAATTGTAGATTTGTCATGATCTAACTGCCTAATCTATAAGATCTTACGTGGAAGTCACACCATCGACTACACCAACTCACTGTATCGTATCAATTACCAATACATGGTGTAGAACAAGATTAGGCTAGAGAAGGAACAATATATTTAATATGAATAGAAGATATAAGGTAACATTCAGATGGACCACGCCTGCATGGCCGAGCCATGTCATCCGATCAGCTCCAGTCCATTCAATTCATTGTTCGCGCCTTCTCCATCGTTAGGTGTTTCTCCGCATTAAATATTGAATATCTATTTTCCTAGTAATCTCGTATTCACCTTTGAGGATTTTGTGGTTATGGTTGTAGAATCCAAACTACGCTTTGGATAGATGAATAACCGTCCAGGTACGTTAGACACGCGCCCTTGCCCATCGAAATCAAAACAAATTACTTACTAACTTACGCCTGTTACTCCCAATGTTGCATAGGCCGCTGACCAGCATTCTCCAACCCACTCTGTCCTGGGCCTTCTTTTCTAGTTCCATACAATTCTTGTTCAGTTTTCTCATGTCTATTTCCATTTCTCGGCGTAATGTGTTCTTTGGTCTTCCTCTTTTCTTTTGGCCTTGAGGATTTCATGTGAGGGCTTGTCTTGTGACGCAGTTGGGTGCTTTCTTTAATGTGTGTCCTATCCACTTCCAGAGCTTCTTCCTGATTTCTTCCTCCGCTGGGATCTGGTTTGTTCTCTCCCACGTTGTTGCTAATAGTGTCCGGCCAACGGGTCCGAACTATTTTGCGTAGACAACTGTTAATAAACACCTGTATCTTCTGGATGATAGCTTTCGTAGTTTTCCTGGTTTCCGCCCCATACAGTAGAACTGCCTTGACATTTGTATTGAAAATCCTGACTTTGGTGCTGGTTGACAGACATTTGTTTTGAGTTTCAGATGTTCTTCAGTTGTAGGGATGCTGCTCCTGCTCTGTCGTTCTGTGCATTCACATCTGCATCAGATCCACCATGTTCATTAATGATGCTACCCAGTTATGTAAAGGTTTTTACATCTTCCAAATCTTCTCCGTCAATTGTGACTGGACTGGTGCATTCTGTGTTGTATCGGACAATCTTGTTTTTCCCTTTGTGTTTATTGAGACTTACTGCTGCTGAGGCTGCTGCCACACTGTTCGTCTTCTCCTGTATTTGTTGTTGCGTTTGGGATAAAAGGGCCAGATCATCTGCGAAGTCTAGATCGTCCATCTGCATCCTAAATGTTCACTGTATCCCGTGCTTCCCTTCAGACGTTGATGTCTTCATGATCCAGTCGATCACCAGGAGAAAGAGAAAGGGTGAGAGTAAGCAACCTTGCCTAACACCGGTCTTCACTTCGAACGACTTTGTCAACTGTCCTCCATGCACGATTTTGCAGTGTAATCCATCATATGAATTCTGTATGATATTGACCATCTTCTGAGGTACGCCGTAGTGTCGAAGAAGCTTCCATAGTGTTGTTCTGTCCACGCTATCAAGTGCCTTTTCGTAGTCAATGAAGTTGATGTAGAGTGGTGAATTCCATTCAATTGATTGTTCCACAATGATCCGTAGAGTTGCGATTTGGTCTGTACACGATCTATCCTTACGAAATCCTGCCTGTTGGTCACCAAGTTGGGAGTCTACGGAGTCCTTCATCCTGTTTAACAATACCCTGTTGAAGACTTTTCCCGGTATTGAGAGAAGAGTGATGCCCCTGTAGTTATCACATTCGCTGATATCTCCTTTCTTCGGTATTTTGATTAGATGTCCTTCTTTCCGGTCTTTTGGTACTTGTTCCTCATCCCAAATCTTGCTGAAGAGAATGTGGAGTATCCTTGCAGTTGCCACTACGTCTGATTTTAGTGCCTCTGCTGGGATGTTGTTCGGTCCTGCTGCTTTGCCACTCTTGATTTGTCTGATGGCCATGCTGATTTCTTCAAATGTTGGTGGGCTAACATTGATTGGGAGGTCCGTAGGTGCTGCTTCGATGTTGGGTGGGTTCAGTGGAGCTGGTCGATTCAAGAGTTCTTTGAAGTGTTCTACCCACCTGTTTTGCTGCTCTTCAATGTTGGTGATTACCTTGCCTTCCTTGCTTTTCACTGATCGTTCTACTTTGCGGCGATTTCCAGAGAGTTTCTTTGTCGTGTCACACAGTTGTCTCATGTTTCCTTCTCTTGCAGCCTTTTCCGCCGTCGTTGCTAAATCTTTCACATATTTACGTTTGTCGGTTCTGATGCTCCTCTTCACCTGTTTGTTTACTTCTGTGTATTCAGCTTGTGCCCTGGCTTTTTCTGCTCTTGTTCAACTGGTATTGATTGCTGCCTTCTTGTTCCTCCTTTCTTGAATCTTATCCAGTGTATCAACAGTGATCCATTCCTTGTGATGATGCTTCTTGTGACCCAGGACCTCATGACATGTTGAAGTGATTGCCTCTTTGATCCCCTTCCAGTTGCTCTCCACAGTAGTTCCTTCTCCGTTGAGTAGATTATGAAAGGCCCGGAACTTGTTGCTGAGGACTATCTTGAATTTGTTGAGTTTGTCAGTATCCTGAAGAAAGGTCGTATTGAACTTTTGTGATATTGTCCGCCCCATTGTCCAGTGCTTCTTGAGTTTCAATTTCATCTTGGCGACCAGCAAGTGATGATCTGACGTTCATTGTAATGCCCTCTTCCTTTGTTTTGAAGGAGGCTTTGATGATCCTTGGTTCATGAGATTTCCATCCTATAAGCGCATTTTGCGCTTGTTTGGACAGCATCAATGCAACTCCTTGTGTATGTGGTGTATTTTCTTCTTCATGGCCGGAGTATAACAGGAGCTCTCCTGTAGTTAGTCGTTGTTGTCCAACTTGTGTCCAATGTGTTTCACTGCTCCCAAGTACCTCTAGGTTGTATCTTCTCATTTCTGCAGCAATTTGGAAGGCTCTCCCGGTGTCCCACATTGTATGAACATTCCATGTACCTAAATAAATGGTTACTCTGGTTGTCAGAAGGGGCATCGACCTCGTAACTTCCGAAGGAATTCGGCTTTCATCATGAGGCGTCATAATTCTTCTAAATGAAGATCTTCTGACTCCCAGGGCAGAGTTTAAAAGGTTTGAATAATTTTTTCTGGTTAGCGCTTTTTTACCGACTCAGTTTTCTACGGGATGGGGACACTAACACCTGGCCCAACCCTCCTCCTTTATTCGGGCTTGGGACCAGCAGTAGCCCCCGGAGGGACTCCAGGCGGAGTTGAAGTCAATACAAGTAATCGGGTAAATAGCGGTTCTATAATTCATCATAAATTTAAATGTAAATCGGTACCTAAACAAATATTACCATCCGGCTATTCAACCAATAATTGTTCAATCAATAAAATCTAATTTAAAATAAATAAAGGAGTTGATAAAAGATGAGGGAAAATTACCAGTCACAACAAATGAACGTTATTCTATCCTGACTGGATAGAACACACACAACAGGAGGAACAAATCAATATGGCTACCGCCAAGAACAAGTGTCAAGTAAACCAACATGGATGCAGTTCGGGAAGAAACACAAACTTAGTGAATGCGTAAGAAAAACAAAAACTATAATAAAAAATACAAGTATTAACAATTCTAATGTAATCAAAAGACAACAATGTACAACTAAGGGGATCAATAGGAACAAAGTACAAGTATATACATGGAGGGATTTTCACCAACACACAAAAGATTCAAAATGGATCTTACAATGGTCCAGTGCCACTACAAAGTCACAGATGCTACCAATCTATTGCAGAGGGTTTGTTATATAAAATATTCCATATAGCAGAAATAGAGGGGTTGTACTCATTACGTTGTGCGTTAAAGCAAGCTTAACATTGAAAAGCCGGAAATCTGCTATCAGTGTGTAGTGTACGTTTGCTGTTTTGGCCATAAAAGGAAGCCGACGGGTCATGATCAGGGAGTAAATGATAATTAACTGTTACTAAGCTGACTTTTTTATAGGTCATATTTCACCACTCGCAAATTTGTGTTTTTTCTTACGGTATGATGTCAACCGGTACCTAATGTGTTCACCCTTACGATGAAAAGTACCTGCAAATTCTCACCTTCATATTCGAGTTATTTTTGGGCAACTGTCTTCCAGTTTCAGTGCTTCGTACGCCATGGGAGTCTAGATTCTTACATAATTCGTAGTTCCAGTATAAATTTCTCACGCAGTAAGTTCAAACTAGACAACAGTCTTTCTAAATAAGCCTGTTAAGCTCATATCCGTATTCTCCATTTCAGTTAATCAATGAAGACATGTATCACGTGCATCTGCTGTATACTGCCATTTTACTCCAATTCTTACTGTTATATCTTAGTTCTGAAAAACAAAATTGCTACATGCAGCAAATACAGACTTATTTGTTTTGATGGAGATAGGGGGGTTAATGAGATTTTTAGCAGAACTGTGGTAATATTCTCACTAAAGAGCTAAGCGAGTGCGTAGATCAATATAAGGCACCATACAGGGTGCCTTTGAGTTACTAGTATTCCATAAGTGCGGGTAGGGGCACTGCATGCTTATCATATGGCATTTGAATAATGAGCTATGGGATTAGATGCAGGTACGAGTGGGATGTGTAACGCGTGTCCATCCATCAGCTGCCGTGACAACTCATGGTGGTTAGAATAAGTTATGAGAGGACCCGAGTCTGTATTTTTCCCAAGAAAATGACGAAGATATGTACTAAAACACTTAAATTTACTACATATGGACTAGGTACTGCGAGGCTCGTATATCACAAGTTTCTTACAACGATTAAGTAGATAAAACAAAGTAGCATTAGATTTAAGAATTTATTCAGGAACTTTCATTAAGAATCGAATATCAAACAAAGGTTTAAACGAAGTCCCTGATTAAAAGTTGCACTGGTAATGTTAAGCTGCAGTCTTGGTTGTTTTTTTTTTCAAACGAAAGGGTAAAATAAGTAACTCAAAAAGTACTGGAAGTGGTTGTGAAACTAAAATGGAAGTCCAGCATCCTTTTTATAATCTGCTATTAGTTGGGTCTCCCGTAAAGTTTCATAGGGCCATAGTTCTAGGGGCGAAATAGTTCTTAGGATCTGTGAAGGCTTACACCTGTTGCATTCTAAATGAGAAAATAGTAATGAATTCAGTCACAAATGTGGAATAGATAAATAACCAAATTACATGTTTTTTTAGCAAAGAATTTATGCAGTTGTGACTTACCTCGAGTTCGTGAATATCAGATCAGGTCAGCTACTATTACTTGTGCAGAGCATCACATGGGCTTAGTGCCGTATCACAATACTTTTATTATTTTGCTCCCATTTAAGTATTCCCATGCATCTGCGTCTAGTTTAAAAGGAAGACATAAAAACAGAGTTAGTGTCTGATGAACTAAAAGTCCCAGTTGTCATAAAGATTCTTAACATTTGTCCGCAGATATCTGCATTTAATTGAGACACAGAACACCCATCTTCTAAGACTGTATATTGCTATTTCGCGGGCAAGTAAAAGCTCAGACGCTTAGCAATCCTTCTACCGATGTTATTGCCGGGGAAATTGTTTGATGACAGTAATCTTGAAATATAGTCAGTGATAGATGTACAATCTAGAAATAAACACCAAACATACTTAAAGCTATCTTATAATGTATGACAGCAACAGTGCCAAAGGCATTTCTTTCCTATTTTCAATCAGACTGATTTCAATCAGTATACTCATTAGAAACAGGTAGCTCTACTTACTAAACTGATCTGTTTCGTTACAGGCTTCAAGCACTATACTTAAGTATGCCATAATTCTTTCGACTAAACTGAACTATACGACAACCAAGAATACTAAACTAAGCAAGTGTCATAATTATTGTTTCATTTGCACAGACATGTTGCTCAAAGTAGTTAAATGGACATAATTAAGCCGATAAAACCAAAACACGAAATATAGGCCAGCCGAACTTACCTAACAGAAGATAAAGGATATATATTGTTTTCAGGCTGAAGACAACAGTCAGTTGTTCATAAAAAAATAGTTTACAGTACAACAAACCTTTCTTCAGTAACATTATGCTCTCATGGTCTATCTGGAAACAATCAACTATGTTTTTTTGGTTTAGATCATGAATTAATTGATGTTAGACCACCGTTGGAAACCTGGAAGCATTGGACGACCGTTTCGTCCTAGTATGGGACTCCTCAGCAGTGCGCATCCACGGTCCCGCACCCCGCGGGATCCGAACCCAGGACCTACTGGCTTCGCGCCTGAGCACTTAACCATTAGACCACTGAGCCGGCATCCAATGGTGTTAGTGTCTAGCGTCAACCAATCCACGAAATTGCGCGACCAACTTCCACTGTACTGAGGTAGATACCTGTCTCTACCCGACACGGATTAGCTCCACTGGTCACGACTTCTCACTAGAACTCCGAGAATTCCCTCACGAAGCTAGACACTAACACCATTGGATGCCGGCTCAGTGGTCTACTGGTTAAGTGCTCAGGCGCGAAGCCAGTAGGTCCTGGGTTCGAATCCCGCGGGGTGCGGGATCGTGGATGCGCACTGGTGAGGAGTCCCATACTAGGACGAAACGGCCGTCCAGTGCTTCCAGGTTTCCAACGGTGGTCTAACATCAATTAATTCATGATCTCAACCAAAAACTTAACAATCTCCACAACCCCCATACTGATAATCAACTATGTGATTAAACTGACTGACTTGGGATATCATCCCAGCGTGCAATGAACATACAGTGTAATGCAGTCGGACGTGGCGAATAAAAATTAAAAACAGAGCAAAATTAACAACATAATGTAGTTATTTAATTAGAAATACATTATGAAATGACAACATCTGTGGTTACTTGAACGCACAGATGACCGTTATTACAGTGGGTGATACATTAAGTTTACTTGGTTGCGTTGCGGATAATTTCACCCCTCGGATAACTATCAGCAAATATATCACCAACGATTTCAGCTCTGCTCGAGGATATGCCACTTAACCAGGTGTCCCCGAAGTTTCTGCGGTATTTATTGATAACAGTAAGTCTCAAGCTACGATGCTTCGACTACGCGCCACTTTGGAAAGCATCCCTATAAACCGCGACTTCACTTAAATGAATGTATAGTCCAAACACTCGAATCAGTACACGATTTAGGAATTAATTACACAGGAAGCCTAAACTTTGAAGAACATGCCTCCTCTATTATTTCTAAATCTAGACGGCTAATTGGTTTTATAATGAAAAACTTTTTCACAACAGAGGGTAAACTTACTCTCTACAAAATATGTGTACGACCCACCCTTGAATACTGCTCTTTTGTCTTCTCTAATATGAATATCGCAGACAAGATAAGAGTAGAAGATGTTCAAAGACGTTTCACACGTCAACTACTAGGATGTAACTCGAGTCTCGATTACACAGACAGATGTAAGCATCTATCTTTAGAACCTTTATGGCACCGTAGGCTAAAACACAATTTGATATTTCTCTACAAAGCGATATATGGGCTATCCTTTTTAACCTCCTGCCCGACTATCACCCACGACCCAGCCTATAGACTTGGAAACAACGCATATACACTACTTACCGTAAAACACCAAAAACAAATGCGTTGTAAGTTCTTTACAGTACGGTACAGTTTATTGTGGAACAGGCTCCCAATGCCTATCCGTAACTGTGATACGTTTACCAGATTCAAAAAGCTAATAACCCTATTTCTAGACTCCAAAGAGCTTCAACATTACCTTGAACTCCCGCCCACCGATGAGGCACTTTATTACGGACCGCCTAGTATCTAGAAAGAACAGAATTATAACAAGTTCGACTGTTACTAATCTAAATATAACCAAATCACAGGATATATGGCTTATCCTTTCCTATTATTCATTGTTTATTAATCATGATTTCATGCTCCTAACCCTAGCTTTCAGTCCCCAAATCTCTACAGGTTAAATGTGCATTATTCTTCCTAAAAGTCATGCTTTTTTTTCTACTGCAAGTAGACAGATAGCTCAATCTTATGGATGCTGATCTACTAAGGCCGATCATTCAAAGCTCAAAATTTGGCCACAAAGTCTTGTGAGTTTCTCAATGTTTTATTTTTCTCCCCCTAAAGTCTTTTTCTTTTTTTTCTACAATTTTATACCCTCTCATATCTTTTGATTTACTATTAATCCTTACTTCTTTAAACCATTAGTTATTTTCATAGCAGTGTGATATACTATATGGACATCTAACCCATAAAGCAGAATTTTTAAATATCTGATTTGCTTGTAACATGGACCTAGTAGAGACAATGTATTCCAACTATGTGCTTTAATTAAAGCATTAATCATACTTACCACAAACGTAAGAAAGCCTAACATCACAGAAGGAGGGAGGGTGGCGTTACTGACCAGCAAACATGAAGGTGGGGAGATAACTTCAATCCACCCATGTCTGTAGGGCAGAACATTTTGTTTAATTACGGCTCCTTATGGTTTAGTGGGATGTCACGGACTTAAGGTATTGAAGCTGGTCTATCACGCAAAATACCTCTTTAAATCGTGTTACAAACGTTGAATTGGTTTCACTTCCCATCCAGAAATCCTATTACAAGCAAACTAGACAATTCGCTAATATACGAAGCCTACTCAAGACCCTATAAAACCTGAAAAAAACAAATAAAAAAAACGAAAGGGGCTCTAATAGCTTCGATAATAAAAGGAAGATAGCCAGTTGTATATCACAATACTGTTTCTAGCACTATATTTTATTTTATAATCACACATAATCCCATACTCTCAGCTCCTTTCCGAATCGCCTCCATTTGTCAGTTGTATGTCCACTCACACCTTGCTAAAGCTTATTTTCTTTAACCTATTAAAATGCTCTTTCTTAACAAATACCTTAATAAAAGAAAATTAGACTGAGTAATCATACCTTAAACATTCCTACATGAATATTGGCTACTCTGCCTCTCGTGTTTTCTTTTACTTGCTCCCTCTTTCAGCCCCCTTGAGATATGGAACAGGTTACTTCATCCTGCACCATCCTTAAAGCCTTGGATATCCCAAAGGGACATAAGGTTGCGATTTCTAGAAGCTCATACCTTTAATGGGCCTGTTCTTGACCATCAGTCGCACATTCGCAACGCAACTTTCGTGAAGCGCGCCAACTATAGTACTGATTAAAACAATCTACATTCATGTCTTATAAATTTTCAACCCAGCTATGTAATTTAATACAGTGTATATTGTATCATTTGTATCAATTTGATCTTGCCTGTAAACTGGCATGCCTCATGTAACAAACTGTTATTTGAGAATAAATTATTATTATTATTATTATTATTATTACTACCTATGGTACACGACAGCATACGGTCAACCTGGGCATTCGACTA